CGGTGCGGCAGTGCGCATCCACACAGGGCTGAAACTGCTGTCAGCATCGCCCGGCTTCTGCTCGTTGCTTGGTGCATTAGTGGAAGTGGGTTCTTGTGTTGATGGTTTGTCGGTGTTCTCAGGAGCATCGGTTACCTTGTCATTCTCCTCTTCTTTGCCATCATCGGGCTTCTCGGGAGCATCGGGTACTTTGTGATCTTCATCTTCACTCACTGGTCGTTTGTTAGGAGGTTGCTCAGTTTCAGGTAAATCTCCCTCGGGTGGAACCTGTCCGTCTTCCTCTTCTTTATCTGGGTAATCATTACCGTTTTCATCTCCATTCACCGCGTCATCATCCTCTTCTTCACCTGGACTTGCGTCAGGCTCATCCAGACGTACTTCTGGCCCTACTGGCAGACCTCCGACCTCCTCACCCGATTGCCCTGTGGTACCTTGTGCTTCTTTCCCTAGCACTGCATTTCCTTTAACCTCAGCAGCAGAAGCCGCCATGGCATACCCGCAGGCGAGGCACAGCAGAACGGCCAACACACACATCACACGGTTCATNGTGGATGAAGAGTGGGGCAACTCAAGAGGTGCAGAGCTGTTTCTTCGCATTCGTCAAGTTGGCTAGTGTGCGCGCGAATAGGTTGATACCCGTGTCGTGACATTCGGTGTAGAGTTAGTCCTGATTTACTCATACATTGGCGACCACACGTGGGACAGACTAATGCCGGAAGGTCTCTCGTTTTCGATGTTTTGTATCGTGCATTGGTGGCGTTCCTTGTTCATGGTGACGCGTGCCACCGAGTAAAAGGTGCGGTTGAATCGCCACACCATGTCGCGAGGGGAACGGGGAAGGGTCATCTTTACGGAATACCTTTCAAACCCATCTTCCCCAGCGTTGAAGTGGGGAAAGCAAGAGTTTTCCACTATGCCCAATCCCACTCATTTTATAAGTGAAACACCCCCGGGAGCCACACCCCACCCCTCTCTCTTCTTGTTGCGCACAAGGCGCTGTGGCAAGTTGGCCGCCCGCCTTGGGTTGTGTGCTCTTCTCCTCTCCCTTCTTCGGGTGAGGGATAAAAAAAGAAAAGGGCAAAACCCGACAACGAGCCCAGAGCTTTACGCACGTAGACTGGTTGCCGGGTTTCATCCCTTTCCCTCCTCCTCTTCTTTCTCTCTCAAGTTCAAAGTCCCTGAGCATGATATTTCAGGCCTCAAGGTTCAGCGCCTCGGGACGTAAAGTGCCCCTCGAGCCCCGCACAAACCCCACAGACGCCGCAGTGGAGCGGTCCAGCAACACAAAGTCTCCTTCCCACTCACAGTGCGCACACACATTTACATTCTTACATGCTCATGTTAGAGAGGCACTGCCGCATTCACCAAAGCATACGCGGAGTCATACACCTACAGAGAGGAAAAGAAAACACAAAAGAAAAGAAAAACAACAACAACAGGATACCAACAGCACACAAGGCACACACAATACAATAATCACAGCTGCCACTCCCATCAGAGAAAAACATCCACCCACACCAGCACATCAACTCAACCCCAAGAAAAAAAAAAAAAAACAGACCCATCATGTGAAGCCGAAGCGGAGCAGTCTCAGTCCCTCCCCGCAGGTCGCAGTCACTCAAGCAAGCCACACAACACACACCACAGGGGCAGAAATATGTTCGTGACAACGCCGAGAGAGAAGGTGAGAACAAAGAAATGTGTTTTCATTACGTGGGCGGTGTTAGTGGCAACCCAAACACACAAAGGAACACACAAACAGAGGGACACACTCAAACACCTACAACCCACCCATCCTTGTAACAAAATAAAAATTCAAAAAAAGAGTGACTGCATGAGGCAGACATAATAATAGAGCAAAAGATGAACACACAAGATACACGAGGTGTATCGGAAACAAAAGAGCGAAACACACACACACACACACACACAAGGGAATGATATAATGAAAACAAAACAAAAGAAAAAGAAATCTTTGACCACCATGTGAATATGTTCAAGAGGCAAGAACACAATTCCCTGCATTGTGCATGTGTGTCTTTCGCACAGGGCGAGCAGTGGGAATGATGCACACATGATGACAGTCCACACACACACACACA